CGTGAAAAGGCTCATTGTTCAGTGGTATGCGGCTCTACTCACGCTTCTACATTCCCGTTGCCTCTTTTCAAAGTGGGGACAATTGTGAAGCTGGTAATTATGATGCAAATTCGGCCTTTTCATTTCTTGGCAACACGCAAAGACCAATCACCATATATACAAGAGCCCGGGTATGCCTTCTTTCACCGTGTTTACTTGATTGAAGGCCGAGAATAATAGCTGAAAAGCAGGCTGAGGATTTCAATTTTTACGGCGGCTCTTACCGTCATCTGTCGCGAAGGGGTTAAGTATGTTGATTGTGAAATGTTAGATGTGGCTTTTTTGATTTCAGTTTGGTTGTATCCTCTTGTGAATTATTACTCCTTATTGGTTGTGTTCCTAGCATACTGGAGAGTTTCTCCATACATGAATGCTTTGAAGATGTGTGATGGCTGGTAAGAGGATCTATGAAGATATTGAAAAGTTTCTGTCAGTTTGGAATTGGCTTTTGTGTCTAAGACACTTGTTTTGCAGAAACGGTTTCCTTTGAAGATTGTTAAATTAGCTGATAGATGTTTCAGAGGCTTCATGTGTGAATTTCAGTGTTGGGTGAATTTTGTTGATGTCTGCGACAACATTTTTGAATTGATTTAGATTTCCATCATAGATGACTAATATGTAATCTCTGTGGCACCACCATGTGAGGATGGGTTTTACTTTTTGAAGTATTTTGTTTTCCAAGTTGTGTAAGGCAATATCACGTTTCATGGCTTGCTGTGGAGCCCAGTGTACATCCAATTTTCTGGAGGAAGAAGTTATTTCCGAAGAAGACACAGTTGCCACCGAGAATGAGTTCCAGATGTTTTTGGACATAGATCACAGGTGGTTGTGAGATGTAGTCGGTGTTGTCAAGAGTATTGCAGACACACTGGATTGCTTCTGTTTGTCGGACATTGATGTACATGGAAACAACATCAATACTTGTTACGAGAATATTTGGTGGGAATGTTTGTTCTTCCAGTTTGCATAACTTGATATGTCTGCTTCCAGTGTGTTGCAGACATAAGTTGGTTTCGCAGTGACTATGGGAAGAAGAAAATAATGAATTCTGAGATTTTGGCTTTGGGGTTTGTATGTGTAACCTGAAAATTTGGCACCAAGAGGACAGAAAAAAAAATGGCTTCAGAAGACAATTTGCAAACCATATATGTTTATTATGATTTTTCAGCACAATAAAAAAACAACCAAGAATGAATTCATGCGCTTTGCAACACTTCAAAACAAAACAAAGAATCAGGGTGTGACTTCTAAACTGGAGTAAGATGTTTCAGGTATGAGAGCAACAATACCTCCAAATTTGTAAAAAAAAGTGTGAACCCCTTTGAACTCCTCTGGGAAGGAGAGACCGCAGTTGAGATAGTTTCGTATTAGCCACCAGCAAAGGTGTGGATGGATGAAGTCCGATATGGGAACCAGAAGGTTGATCGGGTCCCATTTGGGTCAGAAGAATGCTAGCAAGTGCAGCTGAATGGGCCTCATATAAAGACAGCAAAAGTCCCTTGGTACCATCAGGCCGAGGAGGCAAAGCCATGCTCAGGCTGGGGACCACTTGGTTGGTCGTGAAGAGACAGACGTAATTCAGAAGATAGTTGATGGGTTCAGGTACTGCTGTGATGGAGCCCCAAGGGAGATTGAGAACCACACCTAAGTATTAAAGTTGGATTCTGGGTAGGATAAATTTGTAAGTAGGGCGGGTGGAAGTTGCAGCCTTGTCTGGAGATCTACCTACAATGACCCAGTTGTCGAGATATTGGAATGTTAGGACATTTAGACACTCGGGTGAATACTCTTGGGAATGTTGCAAGGCCTAATGGCAGGGCTAAAAATCCACAGTTCTTCTGTTGTACATCAATCAAAGGACTTTGTGGTCCCATGGGTGGATAGAGTTGTGAAGATACACGTCTTTCAGATCCATCGACAAAGCTCAGGCTGGAATTGTCAGGGACTGAGTTGCTGTTCTGTGGTTCCCAATGCAGAACTTTCTGGGACGGATGAACCTATTCAGTGGCCTAAGGCTGATAATAGGTCGCCACTTACCAGGTTTCTTCTTTGGTGTTAAACAGAATATCAAAATGAAATTTATGTTGCTGTTATTTAGGGGAACAGGGAAGACAGCTCGCTTCTGAAAAAGAGAGTTTATTTCTGCCTCCAATGATTGCCATGTGTTCTTCTTGAAGTGGATTGGAGTTGGACGAAGAATTGGCTCGGACGGAGGGGCACCTATAAAGTCCAAGAGAA